AATGCACAGTTTCATTCTTATATTAAGAAGGTCTCAAAAGCTCAGTCTTACCAATTACGCTTTATCAGCAACTATTAGTATACTACACAAATAAGTGATTTAGCTGAATGGAGAGATATGTGCTTGAGGAGGTCCTCACAATCAGGTTTTCAATAGTCTAGCTGCTGCAGTTGACAGTTCACAATCGCAGCCATTCATCAGAGTTCCTGGAATCCAGCTTGCACAGTTCAAGCCGGTCAGCTATCTCGGGAATATGATCTATAGCTCGCCCCTTTTCCAACACGCCTGGTAATATTTTGCCCCAAAGCCTGCCAAACACACAAGAGCTGAACAAGCTTTCTCAGTAACACTCTGTTAAGATATTTTTTCCCCCAAGATCCAAAACAAAGTATAAAGCTAGTTGGACTATTACACTTGTCAACTACAGATTTCTGTACACAAAGAGATAAAGGTGAGTGGAAGAACTGACACATATTGATCTTGAAATCATCTCTTGTGTATTCTGACTTTCCCTCACCAAAAATAATTTGTATTGCTGTAACAGGACCAGCATATGAATTGTCAGGGTCATTCTCAAATCCAGTTCTACATGCCTGCTTTCGTTACATTTGTCAGAGATGCTATGAAATTCAGAGGGGATTGCAATATTCACAGCTACCACCTCAGTAAGGGTACTATTTCCTCCATCTTTGAATAGCGTTGCAATTTATTCTGCTTATAGCCAGAGAGGAGAGGAAAAGGAGATATAACAGATACCTACAGCATAACAAATAGTTTTAACTTGCACAGAGCATATTTGTCTGTAAGAACTTAGTAATTTAGATGCTTAAACTGAAGTTTTTGTTTTTGTTTTTTTTTTTTTAAAAAGAAAGGCTGAGACATGCCAAGGCTGCTTTATTCCTTTGGCCCCCCTACTTCCCCTCTGCCCCCAGTGTAAGATTTTGTAATTAACTGATTCTTCATTATTCATCAGGTCAGCAGAAAAAGAACAGCAGTTTTGTTGAGGCTACTGTAAAATTTTTCTGGACTAACAAGACAGGAAATAAAAGGTTTTGGGGCAATATCTTGCCAAGTCAACCCCATGTCTGCATCATGCTGTAGCCTTATACGTCCAAATACAACTATTTTGGATCTAGACTAGTCTAAAATAGGGGACTGTAAGATCAGAATAAGACAATGAAGGATTGTTTGTTTTTGCCGGACAAGATAGGAATAGATCAGCTTTTAATATTAGAGGTCCCTGGTTCATACTCACTGTGGTTCTCACACTGTTTTCAAAAAATTCCCATCCTAAATTATTTTACCTTTAAAATAGTTCTCTTCAAAGTCAAAATGGTAAATGAGTTACTGAATAAATCCAGGATATTTAGAGCTATACATTATTCCTTGACTATTAAAAAAGTCCATGTAAGTTTGTCAAATCTCAGTTATGCACAAATGTTCAACTATAATGGGAAATGCCAGAAGATACCTAAGATACCTGCCTACAATTTGGCCCCTCCTTCCTGGGTATTATTTTGAATATTACAAATCAAGATTAAAAGAGACAGACAATGTTTTCCACAAGTTTTTGGCTCTTATGATCAGAAAGCATACCCTCTAAACAGAGCCAAGCATTAACTTCCTGAACCCGCAAGCAGCCGAGACATGACTCATGATGTGTGAACTCTTTGTGTCCTATTAGCTTTATCAGTATCAACTCTCAGCCTATTAGTGACACCTGAAAGTCTTCATTAACTATTTCACCACTGACTTCAGTAGATTAAACAGCTGGGAATAAGCCCATGGGAGTAGGGGTGTAATTTAAACAGCTGCAAAGAAAAAAGCAGGAAGAAAAACAGAGGACAAGCCAGAGAGTTTTAAAAAAAAAATAAAGCCTTCTCACTGAGTAATAGTAAATAAAGTGGTAAAACAGCACTTCACAAGATGCGAGGTTATCTTCCCCTTTTTCTCTCCAAAATCAGTGGAAGTCAGGCTACTACTTGAGGAGAACTAACAAGCATAACATAGATCCACTAAACATACACATCCTACTTTGTCGGATGTCTAGGCCTATATAAATCAAGCTTTTATGGTTATCAGTATCACTACTAAAGAAAGAACTAGGCTTGGAATAGCTTTCTTAAGCCCGGCAGAATCATTCACACAGTAGCCCATGCTGGGGGAAGAAAGTTCTGTAAATCCTGTTGAGTTTTATGTTTGAAATTGTTCTGAGAAGTTGCACACCAGGTCTAACATACCGACTCTTCAAAATAATCTCAAAATATGCTTCTGGATACTGGAGTCTGGAGACTCCTTATGGGTCTTACTCAAGAACGAGAAGAGAATGTTTTTCTTCTTTAGGTCCACTGAACCCAGCACCTTGTCTTTTCTTAGTAAACATAACCAGGATATAGTACCGGCCTACCCATGACTGAGTTAGCTCAGCTAAAGACACCTTGTCAGCTACAAGTCTTAGAAATTAAGGGCAGCAGCCACTCCAAGAATCACACCTTCGGTACAAATTTTTCTCATAAGGAAGTGGAGGTAGAAAGGAAGTTAACATTTTCCTAGCTTGTATAAAACATTCCTCTACCCGTTCTAAAGTGTGGTATAAGTAGTAACTGTGTAATAGAGCAGTAGTACTACACACTGGCGTTGTGAAAAGGAAAGCAAAGGTTGTCTTTATTTCTAGTAATTTAATGTTTTCTGCAGAAAACACGTGACTATTTGTGGGAACAGTATGGGTTTTGCAGTCCTTAGGTCCAGCTGTTAAGATGGTCCAAGGTGGGAGGGAGACAGAGGGAGCAGGTGTGTGGGTGTAGGGCCTGTACACAGCTACCTGCCAAAACAGGGCCTCCGTTTCTCGGGGAGGTGACACCACTCAGTACCCAACCAGCGTACTGACACAGCTACATTCGGGGCTTACCCTTCAAGGGACAAGGGGAAAGCTCTCTCACATGCCATGCAGCTCCTTGCTTCGTGCGCCACCGCAACAAATTACTGTGTTTTTATTACCAGTGCAGGAGGAGCAGACAACTGAAAAGTATGCATTTCATTTAAGATAATCACTAGTTTCCCTGAACATCCTAACGTGCCAAATAAAAATAATACCCTGCATTTAGAGTCCATCCCTATTTTTTTCAATGCACAGTTCTCACAGCCAAGTTTCTGAAAGACTTTCTTTGGAAACAAACAATGTGAGAATGTTGCAAAGTGTCTCAAGTTCATAGATAAGAGTACTACTGTAACTGTAAAAAAAAAAAATCAATATTCAGGGGAAGACTATCAAGAACTGTCTCACTAGTGTGTAGCACCAAGTTAGCAGCTTATAGTCTTGAATAAGTAGGACAAGTTTTTCCTTGTTATTACATAAAGTTAGTGATTCATTTGTCACAGATGATCGTGTCTGTTACTATGATTTATAGGAATATTAAGTATTACAAGCTATGCAAAAGGAATGTATGTCTTCAGAATGACTTAAGAACAGAACATTTCCTGATAACTATACCAAGCTAATTAAAAAAAGTCACTAGTTTGAAGTCAAGCCTTATTTGCACTAAGAAGGGTTTGCCAGCTGGGTCAGCAATCCTCTTAAGGTAGGCACCACTGCAGGAGTATTTTTAACAGTATAACTTTCTTTCACGTTCTTTACTGCTCTATTTTTAAATCAGAACTAGCAAAACTGTCTACAACATGGCTTTTGTTTACATAAAGGTATGAGCAGAGTTACTATCTCAAATGCAATGCTGGCCAAAGCTCCAGTGAGTACAAGGCCTACATTATTGCAGGGTTTTTTTTTTTTTTTTTAAAAAGTCAAGTCTTTAAGGACAGCTAGAGTTACCTTCTCCATCCTCTGCACCCTAACCCCCGCATAGGCAGCAAGTTTACTAAAAGGCATTCTGAGCAAGCCAGACTTATTTTAAAGACTTATTCTTCCAGGTTGAGGGAAGGATCATAGGATAATTCAGCAAGTCAGATCTTTTTCATAATGGTAAGCTATTTGTATTATTAAAAATAGGAGTAAGTATAACCCACATACATTTCATTCCTCCATCTGGCAGGAATCTCAACAACAAACATTAGTGACATTAATTCAACACTCAAACACTGCTCTCCTTGAAAATCTTCTCTGAAAGAAGTCAATTTAGAACAGTTTTAGCCATTGTGCTACCTTTCAGAGCAGGCTGACAGGTCCACAAAAGAGTCCCATACATGTTCCCTCTCTCAGACCATTTGATGAGTCTGCCCCTACTGAAATCATTACTAAAGCAGTTCCATATTATCTTTCTATAAGTGAGACTCATTTTTGAGGTTGCATTTTCCATTGTGTCTACATATTCCCAAGGAAGCAGAACAAGCAGGATGGTCTTACTCATTCAAAGGGTTATCTGTAGTTTTCATCACATTAGCACATACAAATTCATACCCAGCTGCAGGTACTTTCCTTACCGACTGATATTTCAAAGTGCAAATTTAATGGTAGGATAAAAACAAAGTATCAGTATTAGAAACCTTGACGTTTTCTGAGACACCTCACTCAGTGGTCCTGAGACAGCACTACGCTTTTGCTATTAACCCTGCAGCGCAGCAGTGCTGATACAGCCAAGTTAAGATGGATTTAATTCCGGTGTTCACAGAAAAGGAGAGGGGACAACCGACTTCCTCACATACTGAGCAATTATGCAGGAGCACAGACAGTTTTCGGGCAATTTGGATGTGGAAGAGGCTACATTACTTACAGCTTTTCTGGATACTTTCTGCTCTGTTTTGAGAGAAAGATTACCACAGTCACAGACTGAGAAGAATCAGTACTGTTCACTATTTGCCACCACACTCTCTACGTTCCATACTCAGAAGAAAAAACCCCTAAAACACACAAACAAAAAACCCCACGCAGCAGCCCAGTGACATTTCAGTAGGAGACTTTGTAAAAAAATACGATCTGCTAAAAAACACCCAACAATAACCTAGAGCTTTTTTGTTTGTTCTTTTAGAAACAGAGTTTAAATAATTCATACCTGTCTTCATCACCATCAACAGGAATAGATATGCCAAATACAGAGCTGGCAAGACTGTTCATAGGAGTACTTGCAGGTAACTGAAGAGGATTTGTTAGAGTGTCTGGAACAGGAGGCTTCACAAGAGGTTTACTTTCAGCTATAACAGAAAGTGGCGGCTGAGGTAGGGGTTCCGATTTTCTTCTAGTATCATCGATCTGGCCCACTAAGGATTGAGCTTGAGTCTGAAATTGTCCAAGGTTCGATTGTGGCAGATTCGTAGGTACATTAGGTGTGCCTTGTATTAAGGAGTGTCCGACATGCTGCTGTTGGACAACACTGGAACTTCTACTGACAGAAGTGTGGCTAGTCAGTTGTGACTGGACTAGAGTAACAGGGACGTTTGGCATAGTAACAGAAGTGGTGGGCACACTAGGCACGCTTGTACCGGGCACAACTGCAGGCACATTCTGAACTCCAGAAACCATGGCATGGGGAGCACTGGGCATCCCAGATACTTGACTGCTGCCACCTATTTGATGCTGAGTCACAGATTTCTGTTGCACAACCCCTGCATGTCCAATGCCTTGCTGCACCACACCTCCGGGCTGCGGAACGGCAGCCTGGCTAGACTGCGTCTGGCCGCTCTGCATTACTCCTGATCCCTGTCCCACTACTTCACCGGCTGGTGCTGACACCCCCATCATCGGTGCTCCCACAGGTGAGGGATTCTGGCCAGTCACCTGTCCCACAGGAAGGCTGGAAGCCACAGTACTTGGAACAGAGCCTGTAGTAGCTTGTTGAATAGTTCCTTGAGACTGCATAATTGTCATCTGCTGCATGTATTCAGTCTGACCAGAAGGTTGCGTCGGCAGTAGATGCACTGGTGGAATTTGGGACTGAGAATAAGCAAATGGTTGAGGCTGAGTCACTGGTACGTTTGCTTGCTGCACCTGCTGCTGGGCCACAGGAACGCTCGGCTGGCCCATTGTTACATTTGGAGGTGCCATGCCTTTCCCATTGGGTCCAGCCTGTACAACACCCTGCGCATTTACCTGTGGCTGCGACACCATCATTTGCTGATTTGCTACTGAAGTCCCAGAAAACACAGGCTGAGCAGTACTTTGGGGCATGGCCCCACCTATGGGTTGTTGTGGCTGTTGTTGTTGCCCAATGACAAAAGTAGGTTGCTGTAGAGAGGGCTGGTTCATTTTCTCTGTCTGGAGCAGCTGTGACACAGCAGTAAGGGAACTGTCAGCTATAGAATCAGGGCCATGTGCCGATGCTGGCACAGCTGAGACCACGACAGAACCTCCCGTGGCACCAAGGCCACTGTCTCTCTCTTGAGCAGCCTGCTCAAAGGTACTGCTGTGCCTAATGCAGTCTCCAGTCCTGCCCAGGACACCACCACCATCTGAGTCCCGGTCATAATACTCCATACACGTCCATCGTCCTCGCCTGTAGGGCTCTCCTGTACCATGGTCCAGCTTGATTACCCTGAAGCGTGAGCTGCATGCGGCAGCCACCGTCTGGGACATTGTCCCAGGAGCAGCAGACGCCGAAGCCCCTGCGGAGGGCAAGGCGGTCTGAGGGCAGGTGCCTCCCGGCATGGGGGGGCCA